GAAGAGGCTAGCATTAGTGGTAGCGTAATCGAAACTTTTATAACTTTCGCTCTGTTTTCGGTTTTTGCGATTTGTACGGGAAGGAGCTGAAAGCATTTTTTTACCCGCACTCATATCTCAATACAATTGTGTCCCTTAAGTTGCACACACGAAAAAAGAACAAAAAGATGTACGAAGTGGTTGGGGATATGCAGAATTCATATTGGTCCTGCATTGGTTTATTCGAAATGCGCAAGATGTGTTGTCATTGGCATGCACCACCGTATGAATCAAATATAATAAACGTCGTTGACGTCTCTCTCCCAGGTGATTACCTCCAAACCGGAATGTCACATTCACCAACGTTTACGTAGTCGGAACAATGATTCTACTGCCGCTCATATAAAGGAACACTGAGCAGAACTCTCTTAGGATCTACGTCAAACTTTTTGGAATGTTTTACAAGTACGTGTTCATGCGATTTGTACGTATGTGGCTTGCAAGATTTTTTTCAGGTTTCTGGCTGCTCTAGCGGTGCTGATAGAAGTTGTTGATACTACGGTGGATGTCCTTGTGGCACCAGATCTCAGCGAATATGATATCGAAGAGATTGTAAATGTAGGTTCACATTCCGCTACTCCAAGCAGGAAGGAAGCCATATATTTATAGAGTGTGACGTTTTTATCGGATCCATCGTTGACAGATGAGCAAAAGCTGGAGAAATGTAAAGAAAATAACGTCACAGAAAACCCTGAAGAGACGGTAAAGAAGGAGCTCAAATTTATGGATGTAGGGCAACTAGTTTAGAAGGAATATGTCGAGTACTGCAAGGAAAGCGTCGAGCTTTACAAGTGGATTAAGGAACAAGTAAAAAGCGCTAATCCCAAGGTTAGTTCAAATATCTCCGACAGTGGAACAAAATCATCAAGTAAAGGTGTCTTTCTTATGGACATTATAAACCAAAGATGCATCCACTATCTCAAAAAACAATTCTCCATTGTATTGCGAATTAGCACGCGAAGCATGCACCCAAACCAATGTTTCTGTAATTGAAGGGCAACTAATCAACCAGTAGACAGGCTTTTTTGAAACTATACAATTACCTTATCGCTATAAAAGTGATAAATGTAAGTTGTGCACTGTTCCAAGCATACCAATGGGAGTATTCTACCTGTTTGAAAAAAAAACAGATCTTTTGTATAGCGTTCAGGGCAGTTCTGAAAAACATAAAACTCACAACGTTTTTCTGAAATGCTACGTCATTTAGATGGAGAAATTATTTAGTACTCCATGACATCTCCTAACGAAGAGAAATCGTCCTTGAATTCTTTTTTGCTGCGTATCATTGCTTGCGTGCACAAATTGAAGAATTGATCTTATTTTGTTTCAGACAGACTCTCGATCATGATTAGCGCTGTAAACAGTTTGCTTTGAGTTGCAACAAAGAATAATTGGTCCAGGATATCAAAAGGGAGCTTAGTATTTTTCC